CCTGTAGCTGTAGGGCTTGAGCTACCACTAGTGAGATTACTCGACTTGAATTCAAGTTGGGCTTCACTCAATGAATAACTTCTAAATGTAGGCTTAATATGTAACTCTATTTTTATTTTTAATATCATATCAAATCATTGTTAACTTGTTATAAAAAATCTGAAATATCAGGACATCCTGTCGCTCAAGACATTCATCACAGTCATTTATTAAGTGAGTCCCAAAAGTAGAGTACATTCACTTATGACTATGATCAATGTTTTGAATGCCAGGACATCTTGATTTTCATATTTTTGTTTGTTATATGTGTTGTATATCTACTATTAAAGGTCAATCTCCTTAGCCTAAATTGAATTACAATCACATCTACCATTAAAAACCAAACTTTCACTACAAGAAATTAACAAAATTAATAAAGTTTAGTATTGTAGAAATTCAAAATTTTACAAGGCAAAAAGTACAAGAAATAGTAAAACAAAAAGGTAGCACATATATAAAAACCCAAACAATAAACATTAGTTTTAAAACCTTATCAAACCCATAGCTATACTATTTTTAATCACTTTCCATCTCAATGGTTCTTCCACTTGTTCCTCCTATTACACTCATATCACTATCAAAATCTATATTTTTCTAAACTTGAGTCATCATCAAAATGGCCAACACATTTCAATTGTCTGGCTACTCTGTGTTTTCTAATAAAATTTTTGTTAAGGCCACTATTTCCACAACTATATCCCTATGTGTTCAAATCCAAGCAAAAACCAACATTGAGCCTCTCACCTTACAAAATTGGTAGGTTTTAGCCCTTCACCTTATAACACGACACTTTTAGCCCTTGACCTTACAAAATTGATAGGTTTTAACCTCTCACCTTACAAAATTGGTAGATTTTAACCCCTCATCTTATATTATAACATTTTTAGCCCCTCACCTATACGAATTGAAGAAAATAACCCTCACTTAACATCAGATTATAACATTCTGTTAATTTTGTTAGCTGACTGTTAATATTAATTAGCATTCTGTTATACAAAACATAAAATTTAAATTCAATTTTATTTGTTAGTTTCATTAACAAAATGCTAATAAATGATAACAGTCAGCTAACAGAATTGATAGTCAGTTAACAGAATTAACAAAACATTATAATCTGATGTTAAGTGAGAATTATTTTCTTCAATTTGTACAAATAAAGGGCTAAAAGTATCATAGTATAAGGTGAAAGGTTAAAACCTACCAATTTTGTAAGGTGAAAGGTTAAAACTTACTAACTTTGTAAGGTAAAGGGCTAAAAGTGTCATATTATAAGGTTAGGGATTAAAACCTATCAATTTTGTAAGGTGAGGGGCTAAAAGTTGGTTTTAGCCTCAAATCCATAGCAAGACACCCTATATATAAGTTAAAATATCATTTAGCCCCTCTATTTTAATAAAAAGTTTCTTTTTAGTCCCTCTACTTAAAAAAATTTATTTTTAATCTCTAAATTTACTATCTAACTCCTTTTTAGTCTCTCTATTATCTTTTTATACACATGGGATGCTAGATGATGAAAATTTTAAATAGAGGGATTAAAAAGAAATTTTTTTAAAGTAAAAGGACCAAAAAAAGATTTTTTTAATTCTTTTATTTTGAAATTTTTATTATCTAATGTATCATATGTGTAAAAAAATAACAAATGAATTAAAAAAAAGTCAGTTAATAAATTTTAAGTACTAAAAAAAGACCTCTTTTAAGCATAAAGATTAAAAAAAAAAAAACTTTTTATTAAAGTAAAAGAGTCATATTACATACAAGATTTTTCCTTTTCTTCCTTCCAAATCAAGGAAGGTTCTCTCTGTCGCACAGTTCTAAATGAGAAGTGGACTACTTGGGAGCCAGGTGGCTCACGTGCTTGGTTGTTAGATTATAATTTTGACTTTCTAACAAAATATATATTTTTAACGAGGAAAAATTTTGAGCAAGAAAGAAATATTACAATTATTTTAATAAAAATTTAAATTTTAAAGTAAATTAAAATATTTGATATATATTGTCAATTTATCAAAAACTACTAGTGTGACTTTCTAGCAAAAATTATATATATTTTTTTAATACGAATATAGAACTCGAACCTCATACCTCAATTAATATGAATACTCTTACAATAAAGGAAGTAGCCACTAGACTATTGAGGAGATCTCTTTTAATAAAATAATTTTTTTTGAATAGTTTACAATTTTGAGAATTAAGAGAGGAAAATTTTTCAAAATGTTAATGAGGTTTAAAGCTCCAACTAACTCACCCAAACACCCCAACACTTTAGGATGAACCACTTAGATAGAAAATTCGATTAGTTCTAGCAAATATTTGGACATGTACAAATTAGGAAATGGCATTTAGTGTCCTAAGAGCTTGGTCAAGATATACCAACCCCCAAGGTTTCAAGCACGTGGATCATCTGCTTATAAATAAGCTTTTAGTCGGGCTCTCATTCATCTCTCCCTAGATGCTTGTAGGTCTAGGTGACGAGCTTTGGCTAATTAATCACGGAGGTAAAATTTTTTATTTTAGATTATATAATAAAAAATAATTTTTTTATTTTATTTAATTTATAGACTATATGATTTGAATTTAAAATATTTTATTTTTATATAAAAAAACTATTATTAAACTATTTAGATTATTAATATAATGAGATAAAATTTAAAGTCAATAATTATTATATAAAATTGAAAACTTTTAGTCTAAATAAATAACGTTTTTTTAATTAAATTAAAATTACAATTACACTTTCTTAATCATAAGCATTTCTTCAATGATATTTTGGTATTTCTAATTCTCAACTAAAATCATTAATAATATATTTGGGATGAGAGAAATGGAGAATAGAGAAGGAGAGGGGAAGATTTTTTTACCAATCAAATTATAATATTTAAAAAATGTTATAATTTGATCGATAAAAAAGTTTTCCCCTCTTTTTTATTTTCTTCAATCCAAACATACAATAAAAGTACATGCCAAAATAATAATTCAAAATACAATTTAAATAATAATTGTTGAAAAAAATAAGATAACAATTTATAGATTATCATTCAATTGATCTTTATTTTCTTTATTTTTCATATTTCTCAACATCATAAAAATAGTATTTAATGAATAAAGAGATAAGAAAATGAATGATATATAATAAAATATTTTTAAACAATAATTTGAAAATAAAAGTTAAGGATTGAAAATAAAGAAAAAAAAGTTAAGAATCAAAATAAATTTAACCAAAAAAATAAAATACTAATATATTAACTTTTCAAAAGTTTAGTGGGGCTTGTGCCCCTTAGGACCCCGACTCCACTATTGGGTTAATGCATTGGGTTTTAAAGAAAGGTTTTGTAAGCTCATTCTGGATATCTCTTATACCTCATAAATTAATTAAAGATAATAATTGATACATTTTTCAGTTTAACATATTTAATAATACTCATCGATTTAATTATTAAAAAATTAATATTTTCAAATTTAAATTTAAGATGAAAAAATTTTTAAAAATAAATTTTAATAACTAAACTGATGAGTGTTATTAGGTGTGTTGAACTAGATGATTTACTAATCATTTTTCATTAATTAATAATTTTTGCTAATGAAAAAGAAGAAGAAGAAGAAGAAGTTTTAATTTATCACTTTCATTCATCTCCTTAGAAGTGCCAACTTTCAGTTTTTAGAAGGAAAAATTGAAATTCTTGGATGCGGTGTCTAGCTATGGATTTAAAAACATTGAGGGATATCGTTGTTTCTTCAACAATGACTTTATATAATTTTATAAGAAAACAGAGAGTAAACGATTGATATTTCCA